GTCTGGTCATCAGTTCAATTTCCTAATGCTTTAAAATGTTCACAATCCTCATTTTGAAAGGGTCGGGTCAATGGAACACCAGGTCCATGCCTTTGTTCTGTCTGTTTCATGCAGTCTTGAAACAGGGCCTGTGAACTTGACATTCATTATGCTTATTCCTATGCTTATTATATGACATTCATTATATTATTCCTCCAATGTCTTTGGCTCTTTACTGTCTGAACACATGGGGCTAGGGAGCTTGAGAAGTAAAAGCCAGGCTTTATAGCATGACAGGGATTTACACAATTTCTTTAAAGTTATTTTTAACTTAGCCTAATTTTAAGTTAGCATAAGGTAACGCATCTCATTTGCATACATACATACATACATACATACATACATACATGTCATTCTTTGTTCTGTCTGGGTCCCATCCTTCCCCCCAGTAGTCCCGGCTTCTGCCTTCATGCCACATGTCTGAACTGACACAGCCACTGTGAACAGTCTGGTGGGAGCTTCGCACAAAGCTAGAAACAAAACTGCCAACTAACCAGCGCACCACGGAGCTTTTAAGAGAAGAGATTTGGTAAGGGTCTGACTGTCATCAAAATGGGGACAGCTCATTTTCCCTTCATCATCATAGTCTGTGTGGCTTTTAGCAAAGTGTTTTATACCAGGATTAAAGTTAATTGGCAAAATTCTCTCTGTTATTTTCAGGATATTTATTTCAGAATTTGTCATGTCTTTTAGTATTTTGTATCTAAATATCAAATAGCATATGTTAATAGTACCTTTCCCTTTCCTTCCCTTCCCTTTCCTTTTTTTTTAGACAGTGTCTCATGTAATCTGGGCTGACCTTGAACTTACTATGTAAGCAAGGATGACCTCAGACTTCTGACCCTCCTTCCTCTACCTCCTTGTCCATGGTAAACATCACCAAGTCCAGTTTTATGTGGTGCTGAGGACTGAGCCCCAGGCTTTGTACACGTTAAGAACACTCTCCCAACTGAGCCGTCTCCTCAGCCAGCAGTCTGGATGTTAAGGCATCTAGAAACACCCAGCACAGCCTGGCTTCCGTGTCTTCTTGCTACACTGCTATAGGTAACGCTGATGTGATTGCTGATGGTAACTCCCTAGTCAAGGTTCCTCCTGTGGAGCTGCCGGCTTACTGACTGGGAAGAAAGCTTGTATGGCTGGGGATTAGCAACAAGGGCATCCTCCTGCACCAGGCTTGTCACCTCATTTGTAAAGAAAGACTTCTTGGCTAATCGAGCACATGGCGGGAGGCTCTTTCAGCGAGTTTGTATTTCACCTGGACAGCCAGTTTGTCTCACACTGTGAGAACCCCGCTATCCCTCCTGAACTGTTAGGACCATGGAAGGGACATCTTTGCCAGTTGAGGCTGGTTTGCTCAGTAACTTAGGTTGTGTCAATTTGTGAGCAGCCCTTTGCCCTAATGTGTGATTAGGATAGCTTTGCTATAAATGACCCAGAAGCACAAGCAGGGCCTAATGGCTCATTCTGTCTTCCAGCTGCTTTTGGGATCTGGATGTAGAACTCTCAGCTCCCTCTCCAGCACCATGTCTGCCTGCATGCCACCATGCTTCCTGCCATAATGATAACGGACTAAACCTCTGAACCGTAAGCCAGCCCCAATGAAATACTTTCCTTTGAAAGAGTTGCTGTGGTCATGGTGTCTCTTCATGGTATTAGAAACCTTAACTAAGACATTCTCTAAATACTCACTAAATGAATGGCTCACCCTGCCAAACCCCAGGACAAAGCAGCCTCCTTGCTTTGAATGTACAGGGCTAACCACTCTAAGTAAGTCCTTGTGACACCCTAAGACAAGTATTGAAAATTAAATACAGCAAAGTTTCATTTATTTGTATTAACAGAAGCCAAGGAACTGGTATGCTTGAACCCCAATCCATTTTAAAATTTTCTCTTAGTTATTGATCATATTAGGACAATCTGCATTTATCTATATGTGACAGTCTTTTCTTGAACCATTAAATGCTCAGCATTCTCTAATCTTTCTTCAGTGACCAAGCCGTTTTCACAATGGCTCACCTAGATCAGAACTTCAAGGGTTTTTTGGGCCTCCATGTGATCAGGACAGAATGTGATGAAGCGTGTGACTGGGGGGGGGTGTCATTACCATGGCAACTAAAGATGTATGGAGCTGAGAGTTGCTCACTCCAGCACTGGTGGTTGGCACTGCTGGCCTCCTCACAGGCGAAGGACTAAAGCTCTCGTCCCAACCCAAATCCCGATGACAAGTTCCATGTTCAGCATGATGACTTTGCATGCTGAGTGTGCAGTCCAACACAATAACTAGTGTTCTCATTGTCATTGTTAGCTGTGTGGCTTCAGGCAAGTCCAAGGACTTCTCTGAGCCTCAGCCCTGTAGAAAACACAGAGGACATGCAGAAAAATGCTAATTGTGTGAGAGCGAACCTGAGTGTATGTGAAGGCCAGAGGCCGATGTCCCGGCATCATCCCCTGTGGTTCCCTATTCATAAAGCCTCCATCTCCTTGATGAATTCAGAGCTCATCATTCAAGTAGTCTAGCTATTGCCCCAGAGATTCCCCTGCCTCCACTTCACCAGGCTTTTATCTGGGTTCTGGGGATTTGGATTCTGGTCTTTGTGCTTGTGTAGCAAGTGAGTTATGCACTCAAGCCATTTCCCCAGAACTCTTTGCTTCATTAAAAAAAAATAATGATCCCATAGATCAAATAAAAGTCTTGCCTAAAATGTTCAGGTTTAAGGGCTGCCTGGTAGGTGAATGACGGAGGTGAATGGCTAGCGCTTTTGTTTCCTAATTGCTAAGTGAGTTTAATGTGGGCTAATTAATGATGCTATTGGTGAGTGGAATTAGCTAATGCAAAACCTAAAACAGCATCAAAGCACACACGGAGGCAGGTGCCATCTAGGATAATTGAGGGAACAGAGGCCAGAGTAGAGCTGTTAAGGGCTGTGCATCAAGCTGCTGGGCAGGCCAGGGGAGGAAAGGGAAAACCAAGCCAGCCTAGGGCTGAGCCATTTAAGCAGTGGGGCTGGCCGCCAAAATGCCATCCTGTTTACAGCTCCCTGTATTTGAGTTTCAGATTTGCTTAAGTCTTTGAAGCTGGGTTCCCGGGCCTTTCCTTGAGAATAAATTCCATTCTTTAGAAACCACAAAACACACTCTCATAGTCCAGAAAGGAATGTGAGCGACCTGGCTGCTGTATGACCCCTTGGGACCTAAGGGACCTTTTCATTAGAAGATGCTCCAGAGTTAAAAGAATCAACCTGCGTTTACATCCTGTGGACAATGAGTAGCAAATGTGGGGAGGCCTCACAGTGACAGCACTGAGCTGGGCGTGAAGACAGGAGATCTCTGATGGATCACCACAAATACAGTGGCTCTCAAAAGACTCACAGAAATTAGAAAATATTATTTAACACTCCCCATTCATGTAACCTGCTGAGTTTCATGGCTGGGCAGCCCAGCACACTGCTGACTGTCAACTGTCACCCTTCCCTACCTACTCTGGAGAACTACAGCTGGTCCCTGCTGCTGGTCAGCATCCAGAGACAAGTGAATCACCAGCCAGGGGTAGGAACCAAATTCAAAACTCCAAGTATAATTTCTATTGAGTGCCAATCATTTGTACAGTATTATAAAGAATCTGTGTGGGATCCTCTTTCATCTCTTCAGCAGAAACCAAAACGAGACAACAGCAAACCCCAACCAATGGAACAGACAGACAGACAGACAGAGACAGTGGCCAGAGAGTAGGCATATTACTTCTATAAATTTCTGTTTAGTTTTTTCTCCCAAAGAATGATACCTTCTAGGACACCCTCCAACAACGAAGTCATAAATGGACAGAGGAACGAAAGTGGCAAGGCGACATCCACACCCCGCTGTCATCTCCACAGAGGGTGCTTACATGGAGCAGTCCGTGGGACATTCCCTAATGTTAAGTCCTCCTAAGCTACTCTCTCAAACTATCTCTTTAAAGGTTTTAAGTGATCATGACCCAGAATGTCTGTCGTACATCATATTCTCTTTCCATCCTTTATGCCCTTTTGAAACTTTGAACAAACCTCAGTTTCACTCTGCATTTGGAGATGTCCCCAGATGCCATTTCAAAACAGCAGGGTAGTGGCCCCTGAAGAAGTGGGGGAAGAAGTCAGCCCTGCCACACTCCTCGGACTCTCTCAACTGTAATTTCAGTCTTGAAGGGGGTATGTTTCCCTCTGACTGTCTAGCACCCTGACTGACCAAGGCTTCTTGGTCAGGCCCTTGTCACTTCTCTTGCTTTACTGTCCCCTGATGATGTGGATACTCTAGCAGTGACCTCACCTGCTGCCCCATCTGCCCTGAGAGCACACGTTTTGCCTTGCAGGAGCCTCTCATGCAAAGGCTGGGAAAATCAAACTCTATTCTCTGCATGAGGCCCTTCTACCCCAGATGCCTGGGAACACTAAGGAAACCTTTGGCTAGAAATGAAAACCTATAACACACTCTCTTCCTCTTCTCCGACAACATAGGACTATGACATTGGGTCTCGGACTTGATTGGAAGTCCTGCTTGAATGGTCTCTTAGTACAATGAGCTACACTGGGTAGAGGCAGGTGGCAAATGTCACTAAAGTCCCAGATGTCACTTGCCTACTTCTGTGAGCCAGTCTTGGGAGCAAGTTGGAGAAGCATGGGTCCTCTCCTCAGATGGAGTGGGTGTTTTAGTAGCACAAACTGTCTGCAAACACACAATTTGGCATTCTAACCAAAGCGCACTCAACAGCAGAATGAGTTTTCTGATATTTTCTTCAAAACAAAGAAACAACCTCAAGTCTGTGAACTTGTAGCACAGACACACAAGTAATCGGTAACGCTTGTCCAAACGCAACCCAAAAATGACATGCATTTCAAAAATGTACCCGGGATCCTTCCTAGCCAAGGACATCTCAGTTTCGTCCACAATTGAAGAATACGGAAAACCAGAAGTGAAGGATCAAGGTTTACCTGGTACCCGAATGAGATCAGCTCTTCCCGGCAGAGGATGGGTCCACGGAGAAGGCGAGCAGGTAAGGGATGGGGGGCAGGCTTCACAGAAGGCCGTCGGCGTCCTCTCAAAAGCAGTGCTTCTACAATCCTGGGGCCAGTCGGGTGACAGCGGCCAGGCACACCTCTGCCGCCAGCTCCACTAACTTTCTATTTTGAAGGACTCCCGGGAACTCTCTCTTGACTGCTCCCAATCTGGACTGCGAGTTTACAGTCGGGCGAAGAGGCGGCCCCTCGCTGTAAACCCACCCGCGCCACCTAGAGGCCGCGCCAGGCATCGGCAGTGCAGGAGCCTGGGCACAGCCTCGGGCTCGGCCGCCAAACGCACCTGGCTCCACAGGACTTCCTGCCCCTTAAGGGACAAGCTGGAATGTGTAAAAAGCATTGATTTTTTTTTTTTTTGGAGTGTGTGGGGGTCTTGCTTCTATCAAAACAACTTGGGCCTTTGGGCACGGGGGTGATGAAAGATGAAATTTGCATTAAGCTATCATTAATCAGAACTTAAGCACAGCCCCCTTCCCCACAAGGTGGGTATAGGTATAACGAATACTGCCGTATTCATTCATGCTCTTTCATGCAGCCGGAAGACACTTGTGCATATTTCCAACCCCTCTCCTGCTCACCACAGATTCGAGTTGCCATTTTCTCCTCAACACATTCTCTCCACGTCATGGCAGATAACTTGATATAGGCTCCAGATAACTTCAGATAAACATGTCTACCTCTGGTAACTATAGTACACGTCTCATATAAATACAGACTCTGCCACTCCAGGGAAGTGTACATGCCTCACAGAACTCTTGATAGCTCTATGTATCCTCCACACTTACAGATAATTCTATATGCTCTGATAACCTCATATATCCCATGTGATTAGATAACAAGGGAACATGTAAAATGCATACCTCTCAGTACTGATCGATTCTCTTTCAAAAATAAATTATCCAGAAAACACCCAGCCTTAAAAGAATGTAACAGTCGCATCCTTTTCTCCCTAAACACCATGGTCTCCCACCTCAGTAAAGAGTGAAAACAACTTCTTATCTTAACTACTTCTCTTCTTCTTCTTCTTCTTCTTCTTCTTCTTCTTCTTCTTCTTCTTCTTCTTCTTCTTCTTCTTC